GTGTCTGACAGACTTGGTGGCCTTCTACGCTGGTGTTACAGTGTCAGCGGATAAGGGAAGTGCAACTGATGACATCTGCCTGGACTTGTGCAAAGCATTTGACACTGTCCTGCACAACATCTTGGCTTCTAAACTGGAAGGATATATAAGTTTGATGAATGGACCGCTCAACAGAAGCCCTGAGGAGGACTTGGGCATGTTGGTTGATGAGAAGCTCAACATGAGCCGGCAGTGTGCACCTGCAGCCCGAAAAGCGAACCATGTTCTGGGCTGCATTAAAAGAAGTTTGACCAGCAGGTCGACGGAGGTGATTCTCCCCCTCTACAGGTGTCCCTGCCCAAAGCAGGAGGATTGAAGTAAGATGATCTTCAAGGTCCCTTCCAACCTTAACCATTCTATGATTCTATCATTCTCCCTCACTTTTTTTTCCTTATTCGTCTGTGCCATACAGTGGTTTTCCCCCCTCTTAAAAACACATTCCTCCAGAGGTGCTGTCACCCTTGCTGATGGAGGGCTTGGCTGGATCCTGTAGTGAGTTTGTTTTGGAGCTTGTTGGATTGGTTGTGTCCAGCACAGCGTAGTGCTGGCCTCTCCTCATGGACACCACCCTTGGAGCGCTCCCACTGTCAACACCAGGGCATATGCCTCTGGTGCATTCCATCCTCACCCCCGTGAAAGACATATTTAAGTACAGTCAGTAAAGTATACATTCATCACACACCCTTCACAAACCTCACATCTAAAAAAAAAAAAATAAATCCCACACCAAAATCAAAACAACCTAACACAGAAAAGGTAGATTTTACACATGATAAAAGTCAACACTTGTGCCTTCAACTTATTATAACAACAAAAGAATCCCCACAATTATTTCACTCTGGCAACATCCTATCTAATTTTCCTCCCTTACCACTTCCAATTACTGTCCTTATTGCTCATTCCTCAGGCCCCAGACTGGGTGCCAAAAAGGACTGTAGTGGGTTGACCTTGGCTGGGTTGATGTCTGGCAGCCAGCCAAGGTCAATCCACCACAAGCTTTCAGCTTAAGATACAAAGAGAAATAACTTTAGATAGTAATACAAGCCACTGTAATCCTAGAACTAGCACAGCCTCAGTTGGGTGTACAATGTACATACACTAGCTAGCTATGGCTTCCTGTCATGTCACTGCTTCACCACGTTTGTTTGCACCTTTGGACAATATTGCTTAATAAAAATCACAGGTGCATGAAGATATATGCTTGAAAGGACCAAGTAAGAGTTACACTGAAATTGGCCTAATATCATATTCTTTTGCTTTTCTAAAATTTTATTTTGAGGAACTGTAATTTTCTGTCAAACGTAACCTTATGAAGAAAATTAAGTGCATACTCTAAGTTTGTCGATTACCAATGAGTGACCTTAAGACTGATAAACTATTTTGACATTTCAACCATGAAAACATATTTAGAAAGCAGTAATCCATGGAACCAACCTCATTCCTATGAGTTTTTCTCATAGACGGAGCCTGAATTTCACACATAACTTTCTGCAGTGTGCAAGATACTGATTTTTACAGTCCATAACAACAAGACAGGTAACAAGACAGGCTTCCATAAACACACAGGTGACAAAAGGAAGGCTAGGGCCCACTGCTGAATGAGTGAGAGGGGCTGGTGACATAGGACATGGAAAAGGTTGAAGTACTGGATGCCTTCTTCACCTCAGTCTTTACTAGAAAGACCAGCCTTCATGAATCTCAGGTGCCAGAGACCAAGGGGGAAAGTCTGGAGCAAGTGAGATGTGCCCTTGGTGGAAAATGGCCAAGTCAGGGAATACTTGCACAAACTCAACATTCCTAAGTGCACAGGCCCTGGTGGGATGCACCCACAAGTACTGAGGGCTGCTATCACCGCAAGGCTGCTCTCAAAAACCTTTGAACGTTCATGGTGACTAAGAGAAGTGCCCAAGGACCGGACAAAAGCAACATCACGCCTATCTTCAAGAACAGCAAGAAGGAGGAGCCAGGGAACTAAAGGCTAGTCAGCCTCACCTTGATCCCTAGGAAGGTGATGAAAACCATTTCCAGGCACTGAAAGAACAAAAAAATAAACAGGAGTACTCAGCACAGATTCACAAAGTGCAAGTTATGCTTGACCAACTGGAGAAATTTCTCTGATGAAATGACTGGTCTTGTAGATGTAGGCAGAGCAGTGGATATGGTCTACTTCAACTTCTGCAAGGCTTTCAGCACTGCCTCCTGTAACATCCTCATACGGAAGCTGCTGATGTATGGCTGGATGAGCAGACAGTGAGACAGCCAAAAACCTGCGAACAGACAGGCCCAGAGGGTGATCATCAGCGGCCTGAAGTCTAGCTGGAGGCCAATAACCAGTGCTGTACTCAGCAGTCATTACTGAGTCCAATTTGGTTTAATATCTTCATTAATCATTTGGATGATGTGGCAGGGTGCACCCTCAGCAAATTTGTAGATGCCACCAAACTGGGAGGGGAGGATGATATACCAGAAGGTCATGCTGCCATCCAGAGGGATCTGGACAGGCTGGAGAAATGGGCTAACAGGAACCTCATGAAGTTCAAGAAGTGGAAATGCCAAGTCCTGCACCTGGAGAGGAACAAGTCCAGGCACCAGCACATGCTGAGGGACACCCAGCTGGTAAGCAGCTTGGCAGAAAATGATTTGTGAGTCCTGGTGGGCACCAAATTAAATGTGAGACAGTAATGTGCCTTGAAGCAAAGAACGCAAATGGCATCCTGGGCTGTGTTACAAGGAGTGTTGACAGCAGGCCAAGGGACGTGATCCTTCCTCTGTAATCAGCACTGGTGAGGTCACATCCGGAGCACTGTGTTCAGTTCCAAACTCTCTCAGTACAAGGGAGACATGGACACACAGGAGAGAATTCAATAAAGTAAGATGATGAAGGTACTGGAGGATCTCTTCTAGGAGGAAGCACTGAGGGAGCTGGAACTGTTTAGCCTGGAGAACACTAACAATGTGAACACTTTTTCCCTGTGTGGTTGACTGAGAACTCGCACAGGTTGCCCAAAAAGATGGTAGAGTCTCAATTCCTGGACATACTCAAAAGCTATTTGGAGATGGTTCAGGGCAGTTAGTTCTAGGTGGCCTTGCTTGAGCTAAGGGTTGTATCAGATGACCTCCAGAGGTCCCTTTCAATCGTGAACCATTCAGCCATTCTGTGATTCAAATGTTCATCAGGAAATAGTTACAAAAAGTACCCTCCAAAAAAGAATTAAGAACTCAAAACCTTCCACTGGAATAAACTGAAGCCAGATCAGGCTGAAATCACCGCACTTACGCCAAGACAACCAGAAGACAGATCTTAAGTCATTATTCTTTCACATAATACTATCCTCAATAAGAAATGTGTAAAGAATTAATTACAAATTACATCAACACTTGACCAGGTTATAAGACTGCAAGAATTAAAGTACCTAGTCAGTAAAAACAAAAAAAAGGCTACAGACAAGCATTATCTGGACATATTTTAATTTCTAACTAGAAAACACTAATACAGAAAGCAAGGACTTTGTAAAAACAGTAGAAGACAAATAGAAATTCAAAACAGATGCTGCCTGTCTTCAGTATGGCTGCTTCAGAAGACAGTCATGTTGTTACAAGCTTTTCAACTAAAACATTTGAAACTTAGCAGTTGTCTCTCCTTCTACATGGACTTATTCTTTCCGTAAACTGAGGGATTCCATGTGCAGAAGTAGTGCTTGGGCAAACATCACAACATTTACCCCTGTGAACACTAAACTACTGCAGAGAAAAAAAATGAAAGCATAGTGTGTGCCTCTTCAGGCCACCTTTATTAAGTGATTCATGCCTCATTTTTAAAAGAAGTAGCATTACTAAGAACAATGTTAGATGCTTCAGTAGTTGGAAGGGACAACAGGAGATACCTCACTGTAGCAGTTAAAAGACCTTTCAGCTCAGCATGACAGCTGTTGAGAATTTTATCATCTTTGAGCAGAAATTCCAAATACTCATTGAGCTACTGACCTAAAAAAGCCATCAGGTTATAACCATATTTAATCCAGAGTTCTGCATGGTGTTGGTTTTATCATCTAGCTCCATGTTTATCTTTTGAGACTAGTACACAATCTTCTATTTAATGCATATTATATCGATTCTCAATTTGGTGTTATTTTTAATGGCCAGCTCCATGACAATTTCCTGTCTACTTACACACAGAAAAAATTCTTCAGCTATCCTATCCGTGAATCTTTTGGGTCTGAAGTTATTAATAACTTGCTTTGTGGGATTTATGCAAAGAAAACACATATGAGTAGCAAGTCTTGGTAACTGTTCTCACTGAAGTATCACAAAAGTTTTTAATCCATATCTGATGCAGTTTCATAGTGGTTTCTCCATTATAGGAGACTACAACAAACTCCAATAATTTAACCAGTGAAGTCTCTTCTGCCTTCATTCTCTAACGCGATTTTAATCCACTTGTGTCTCACCTATATTAGCTCTAACGTCTTTCTAATCTCTCGTTTCATTCACATATATCTACTTAAGACAAACATGGAAAAAACAAGGTCGAAATCTGCAGGTTTAAGTTAGTATTTATGAACAGCAGGTAATTAACACAAGCTGCTTCAGATTTTAAAATATAAACTTACAAAAACAATTACCCCAATTCTACTCAGAATTTCTCAGTCTTTACAAGAAAATCTAGAAGAGAATAAATTAACTGAGCTTGTAGAATACATCAAGCTTGGCAAAACATTAAATAGTAATACAGTAATAGTACTGTATTCAAATACAGTACTTCAGATCAGTTCATTAATGTGTTAAAGGAATCCTGCTAAAGTTAAGGTCTTCAGTTGCATAACTGAAATGCAGGTCAGGCTCACAGGATCAGACACTGTATACAGAGGCAGCACTGAAGTGACTTAATGATCATAGTGAATAACCTGGTGAGTACAAGGTACTAATGCAATGACAAAAAGAACATTAGAGCCCTCCCTACCTGTGCAAGGCAAGGAAAGAAAGTCTGAGTACGGGAACAGTATTAAGAATATTCCTTGCTATATTTGTTACTTATGTGCATCCATATAACCTTCAAAGTAAAAGAAAATTATTAAAAAGTAGTTTAGCTACTACAGCCCAACATTAGCTGACAGTAGGTACGTGTTCTGACATTCTTCAGAAGTGAAGTAAAAAATGAAAACAGGTTAAGAAAACATGTTTTACTTTCCATTCGTAACAGGTTAACATGTCCAAGAATCTAAGCCAACATATTTTACCTCAAAATTCAAAATTATCATTTACTAGAACTTATTTCTAACGCACCCAGAAAAAGCACATCACTTAATATGGTAACAGACTGTATGAGGAATAACCTGTTAACAATCCAGTAACTCTAAAACATGAAATCACAGGTCCACATGCTTTACTTTTCTGCACAGAAGTCTTAATATATTATTAGAAACATGAACAACCAGATATTATCTTTAAAAAATATATTTTCTCTGTAAAAGACATACTAAGGGGGTGAGTATCCCTGAAGAGCTTAAAAGGTATTAGGAATAATACATCAGAGGTTACAATTGTTCTATGTACTTATTCATCTTAAGTCCACTGTCTCTACTGCAACAGAAATAGTTTCACTTCTAGAATGAGAAAGCTGGATTTCAAAATTTAATCTTTGCTTTAGACTACTATGAATATTTATAGTACTCCCACAAGACTCCCCAAAACAGTACAGATCACAAACTTCACACAGTATTCTCAGTGCTCCTGAAACACTGCATTAAAACTGAATATGTAAGAGTCCATGAACTCACAAGCATCATCAGAAAGCAAAATAAATTCAACTTGAAGTGTCTGACTTTAAAAACTTCAACCTCTCCAGTTCATGCCAATCAGTCAACATGGTATATGTTCTTCCTTTCTGATCAAAGTTCCTACACAAACTGGAGGCACATAAGAATGCTGAAATACAGAAATGGCATTCAAAAGGGAACACAGCACCTGAGATTTTTAAATTATTAGTTCAACACAACAATCACTTGAACAATTCTGTTATATCTTAGATTAGGAGCTTAGTACCAAGCTTTTACCAGTAACTAGATGTTTTCAGAATATAAAGGTAATAGCTAGGTAATAGCTAGGACTCTAGCAGAATAAGAGCAGAAGACATACTGCTTACCTGTACACCTGAACCATGACTTCCACTTTTTGAAGAAAACAAACAATCCTCAGAATCAACTGAAAACAAAACTGAAGCAGATGGAAAGACCTCAGAGACTGATCCTTGACTGAAGTTTATAGCCTCTGGATTTTTTTGACCATCCTTTACTGATTCACTCAGATTGATCACAGAATCTCGTATGTTTGAAATAATCTCATTATTTTCTGCCAACAGGCGTTCCAAATGATCAATTTTTTCTTGCAATATTGAAAGCTGACCCTGTAAAAAAAAAAAAGTAATTATTTCTCTGACCCATTCTTCACAGAATTTATCTTAAAAATTCAATTTCACAGTAGTATCTGATTACACACACACAAATATTTTTTTCTGCGTTTTATGTAAAGACAAACTAATAAGAAATTGAATCAACATATAAACTTTTTTCAGAGTAAGGGAAAAAGGCAAATTACATTTTCCACTATGAACTTGAATTGGTAGCACAAGATTAAATTAGTGATACAAAGATATTCTTAAAAGTTCATGCTGTTTCAAATACCGATAATGTCAACTTCAGTTTATTTCACATCTGTCATAGATTTGCAAAAATCTCACTTTTTCATTTCATGATATTCAAACATCAAAGAGAAAGCTATTTTTTAGAAGGATGTCACATCATGACGGTATTGTACATTTTAGGTTTTTCCTGTACACATAAAATATTACTTCAATAAATACTGAGTTTCTTATTTTCAGTGACATTTGAAAAGAAATTAACAAAAGCATTTAAAGGGAGTAAATATCCCTTAACAGCCTGATAATAGTAATAATCTGTATAATTAGACCATTACAAACATCAAGATGATTCTGTAGAAGACAGCTCAAACCAATAGCACTTTCAGTCAAAAGCTCATACTCAGCTGCCAAACAAGAAGATTTGGTAGATGATTCCAGCGTGCTCCAGAAGAGGAGGGGTACAGAATAACATCAATCTGAATTGAAAGAAGTCTCCCAAAGCAACTCAGAAGGCGTGACGGATACCACAAAGCAATTTAATAGCCTCTAACCACCATATTTTTGGAATGCAGAAGGGAGCACAGCAGAACAAGATACCTGCAAGCACTACTGTCCTTTGATGTACTAGTCACTTCTTTCAAACAATTTGAAGTGTGCTGTTTGTTGTTGTGGGGTTTTTTTCAGGCATGAATGTGTTAGCTTTTGCAGAATCACAAAAGGCTAGATTATTTAACAGGCTTTGGGAGATATTTTATCTTAACTGTAGGTTCTTTCTTTCATCACACTGACTCCAGTGCGACAATAGAGAACAAAAAGCCATTCACTTCCTATTATTCAACTTGTGGTCAGACCCCAAAATATATACAAGGTATGATTAAATTCTTTCCAAGAAGCTATCATTACAACAAACCCCCCCACCGCAGACTCAGGCATTTACAGTTTACTCATTATTTGCAACAAAATTGCAACTAATCAATAGCATTGATTAAGTACATAGCTACTGTGTGACCTATGATTTTAGTGACATGGGAATTCTTTTCCTAGCATCAATGCCTTATTTTCTATTGTAATAAACTTTTCTGGACAACGCTTCACTTGAGGTTTTTGCATATTTTTTTTATAAGGGGTAAACTGTTTCAAGTGCTAAATTAATTCCAACTTCTGCAGTTAGGCTGTAGTTTGCAAAGGATTAAGAATCCTTTCTAAATTGTGATGTGCACTTTCTTTTAAATTCTGTTCACTTTGAGAAGTCTGCAAGAATTAAAAAAATATCCCTCACTAAGAGATATCAAACAGCTTTTTGGGTTCTACTAAATTGTCATTCTTATAATTCTATCCCTATGGAAGTTCTTTGTAATTCTGCAGAAGATTGTTCTACTACTTTTTTAACCTGTTGGTAAGTTTGTCCCACCATTTTCTGGGCTGTATAAAGTGCTAACTCACTGCTTTGTTTTTTTTTTCTTAGATTGATACATCCTTAAAACAGTAACTGGTTCTAAAATGCAACATAGGCAGTTATTGCTTCCCAAAAGACAAAAATGTATTTTGACAACAGATCCAGATTAAGCTAATTAAGATGTAGGGCCAACATCCTAGAATTTCAGCAGTTTAAAGACAAATACTCAAAATTAATAAAATAGATAAACTGAAAACAACAGGAAATCAATATGCAGATGATGGGAAGAAATCAATATGCAGATGGGAAAGAAAAACCTGTAGTCCCATGCCCCCTGGTGGCACAATTAAACAACCAAACTGATAGCTGTCAAATGCTACATTAAAAATACTGTGTACACATTTCTGTGTAAAATTTTCTCTTTCAATATCTGTGACATTTAAAAAGAAAGGTTCCTCTACTCAGAAAACTAATAGCTTAGTATGCCACTCTAAAAATAACATATATAAAATAATACTGATTGAGGCTTTTCAGTTTGCCCAACATAGGCTCTAATCTTTAGATTCCTGAGAAGCTATATTTAGCTGCTATCTACTCAAATTACTACCTACCTCACTGCACATGACTAGAGTTCACCAAAGTCATTGTGAAAACAGCCAAAACACTGTTTACACTTATCCCACCACTATAAGTGCTGCCTCTACAAATGTAAAATCAGACGTTTAAAATTTATGTTCTCACTCATGTATGTTCTAGAACTGTTCTACCTTCTTCCGCAAGAAAAGTTTTATATTGCTTAGCAATAGCCAGCCAATTGGCTGGGCATAGATTACACCACCAACCTGTCTTATGTTATCTAGCCAATTATAGTATCTCCAGCACTGACTGGTAACAGACACAGGAAAAAAAAAACAAACAAACAAACAAACAACAACCCACCATTAAAAACCTCACCAAATATGTCTTTTGACTGATCCTTCTGTTGGCATATACTGCCAACCTCTAGCAGTCACATATAAACTTAATTTCAAGGCGATGTCATATTTCATATCTCTACAATGAACATTTCATTTAACTTTTACTTTAAACCTTCAAATACCTAAAAGAAAAAGTTCTATCATTTTACTGCTTATTATGCAATCTAAGACTTTTTTTCATAAACTAAGTTCTCTTTTCCCTGTGTCATGATAAATAGTAATTTGTTCCCTGACCATCTTAAATAATGATTTTATATGTTGCTAAATACTTCCAGCAGCAATTTATTTTTGATCTGAAGGGTTCAAGCCTACCTAGGACACTGAAGAGTAGTGATTTTTAGAAGTCGGTTAAAGCATATCACTTTAACTTTGAATGGAGATATTTTGCCATTTGGAGAAAGAAATCCTTACAAAAACCTCCCATTGTGGAACTTAAGAGAAAACATTAATAAAGATAACCTTGTTTTCCTTTCTGAAGACTAGGAAAACACATCATGTCTCTCTTCTAAAGCATTTAAGCATGCCATGTACTAACTCATTCTAAATGCAAAAGATGAAATAAAAAGCTACAGTTAAGAACGTGTAACAATGACCTCATGTAGTACCCAAATTAAAACTGACAGGCAAACAGATCTTTTGAGATTTAAATTTTTTTTTCCATTTCTGTTGTGAAATGCGTACAGCCAGGGGAGTTAAGAAAGAACAATGTCACTGCAAATGCAGCCCAATTTTCAAAATAGTTTATCTTAGGAATCCATTCTCAAGTTGAAAATTTGACATGAATCCAAATTATGCAAAAGCTAGGTCTATTTTCATTGCACAGACCCCTTTCCTCCTTATTCATTTTAAATAGGAGCAGACAATGCCTATAACATAGTATTAAATCGTAAAATTATTTTAAAATATGAGCTAAATATAGAAAATATTGTGACTCCTTAAGACAAAATTAACATATGAAAATAAATGAAATTCAGTTTCAACATTTTTGGAGGAAGGCAAGTAGTGTACACTGTCCAGCTTTAGACAACAAGGCCAAACAGTACAAAACAATGAAGTCACTCTAAAACTTATCAACTGCAAGTAACAGATGTTAATGTACCAGTAAAACACATCAGAAGCACGTTACAGTGGGCATTATGTACATCTAATGAAAAAAAAACCCAAACATAGTGGTCCTCTCCGTTAGTAAGAAATCCTGTAAAAGTATTTTGTTTTAAAACAAGTTTGAAAATTTCTGACACATTTTAGGGTCGGGGGAATTTATTTTTTATTTTTAATCTGAGCAGAGATTCATCAATTTTACCTTTACCAATTTTACCAATTACCTTTACAATTGTGCCTGAATTTTTTTTATCTGCTTGGCTTTGTAGATACTGGATAGCAAAATTCGGCTAGCTGCAGAATTCATAAACGTTTGCGTATTTCCTCCTGACTTTACAGCATCAAATCTTCTCAGAAAAGGAAGAACCTTCATCCAAGACTCTGAGCCCTGCCCAACTCTAGAGAAAACTGGAGGTACGCCGTCTGGTTACTTATGTTTTAGTCCAAATGAACATCATTAAAGGATGCTCTGTCTACTTACTTGTTTTAACATAAGGTAATGCAATGTAAAGTTACATGAATCACTTGACCTGTACAACCAGTGTTATTAAGTTTCTAACGACTTTGGCATAAATGCCTTTCATTTCTTTCTGCTTTTATATATTGATAAGATTGTGCAAATAAAGATTCTATTAAAAAAGCAAGAAAGGGAACCCTGCTGTTACTCCACAGCAAATCAACTACTTCTACAATTGCAAAGTACCATAACAGTACCAAATTATTTACAGCTGCATTGGTAGAAGAATGGCATCACATGAGCAGCACATCTGTTCACCATCCCCATGGTTACATTCAGCTGGACTTAACCAACAAAATCTTCCCATGTGAGGACAGCACAGATCAGATCACCCTCCTCCCATTTGGAACAAAAACTGTCCATATCTTCTAGCTGCACTGAACAACCTGCTGCTGCTACCACCACATAAGCGAAATAAACAAACAGTTCCTTATGCTTCAGTCAGTCTGAACCCTTCACCAGTTTTCATGCCCCAAATACTCCAAAGCAGTCTGCTTTCCCAACGCCCTCTGCTTGTCCTTCTCTCTCTGCTCCTGACACTGGTCTGATCTGTAGCAAAGGAGCTACACAGCCACAGCTCCAGAAGGGAGCACACAGCCCCCTAGCAGAAGGAGAGAAGTCCAGTAACACAATGGAAGATCGAGCTGCTTTCTTCTGGGGAAGTGGAAAATGGGTAGTTTCTCCCATTTAAGCACTGTACACTGCAGAAAGGATATTAATTGCAACTTTCATTTCCTCAGTGAATGTTCAGCCCTTCTCTAAACACAGGTGCTTT